CGCCCAACCCCCGGCCTTGACTTTGAGACCTGAGACCCTGTCCTCCTCACGCCATTGCTGTTCCCCACTGCTGTTCCCCACAGGCCCTGGTGCTGCCCACCCCACGCTCCTACGTCCGGGCGGACGGCGCCGTGGCCCCTGACCACTGGCTGGACCCCAGTGCCGTGTGGGAGGTGAAATGTGCCGATCTGTCCCTGTCCCCCATCTACCCCGCTGCCCGGGGCCTGGTGAGTAGCCGGGGGACCACGGGCTGCAGGCAGCAGGAGGGACCCGGGATCGACCTTCCAGACAGGAGATGGGGAGCAGGGGGTCGTGGAGCCCACGCCTGTGCTCCGGGCTGATAGTAACTAGGAAAGCTTGAGCTCGCATTTTATTTGGGTGTCAGATAACAGGGTCAAAGTCTCCATTTAAAAAAAAAAAATTCCCCACATGTAGAAAGTAAACAGTGAAATTGTTTCCTTTAATACCATAACCTCACCTTCGGCTCCTCAGTGATTTTTGAAAACACAGTTCTGCATAAAAAGCTTTAGGACACTTCCTGCTGGGCAGTGACCTCAGCTGCGGCCCGTCTTTCTCAACCGTAATTCATTTTCACGCTACCAAGTTTTAAAATTCCCGGGCTAATCTCTCTGACTGGTGGCTCAGCCCTCAGAGCCAGCTAGAGGGTCAGCCTGGCGCTAGGGCAGCTCTTCACCTTCTCCGGAATAGAAATCTTGAATTAAAAATGTGCGTCCTTTGCGATTCCTTCTGACCCTTCAAAATCTAGCTAGCATGCGCTTTTCTGAGTAGGAGTGGACTTCCATTTAAAGCCAGAACTCATTTTTATTTATTTTTTTTTAAGATTTACTTATTTTATTTTTTTTAGAGATTTTATTTATTTGAAAGAGAGAGACACAGCGAGAGAGGGAACACAAGCAGGGGGAGTGGGAGAGGGAGAAGCAGGCTTCCCGTAGCAGGGAGCCCGATGCGGGGCTCGATCCCAGGACCCTGGGATCATGACCTGAGCCGAAGGCAGACGCTTAACAACTGAGCCACCCAGGCGCCCCAAGATTTACTTATTTTAGAGAGAGCACAGGGTTGCTCTCTCTAAAGGTTGTGAGAATCTCAAGCAGACTCACTGCCGAGTGCAGAGCCCAGCTTGGGGCTCAACCTCACGACTCCGAGATCATGACCTGAGCCAAACTGAGCCGTCCAGGCGCCCCAGAATTCACATTCTTAAATTGAATTTCTGTCTTAAAATTTCTCACTTAGGCTCCATGGTAAGCAGTCAGGGTCCCCCGGTGACAAGTGGCGGGGCCAGCATTACGGGGCTTGCGTGCGAAGCGGGCGCCGTGCTCACAGGCCCCACACTTGCTTGCACCATTCCATCCTCACGAAGTACTGAGTGTCCCCGGTGTACAGCTGGGGAAGTAGAGCCCGGGAGCCAAGGTCACTGGGCCGGGGTTACATAGCCCCTGATTTGGGGGCTGGGATTTGAACCTTGCCATCTGGTACTCGAATCTACACCCCATCTCTACTGCCCTGCCTCTTGGCCCTGAGGGTAAGAACAGAACAACAGCCTAGATCACAGCTACTGGACTGGCGTTCCTTAAGCGCTTAGTATGCTCCAGGTACAGTCCTAAGCGCTTTATTCCCTTATTTAATCTTTATACTTAGCCCCATTGAATGGGTCAGGAAAACGAGGCTGGAGGGGCGGGCACGGGGAGGAGACCCGGGCTAGGGACCCGCTGCTGTGATGGCCTGGGGGCTAGCCCCCAGGAGGGTCTCCATGCTCGCCCCCTCCCCCAGGTGGATGGTGAGAAGGGGATCTCCCTTCGCTTCCCTCGGTTTATCCGCGTCCGTGAAGACAAGAAGCCCGAGGAGGCCACCACCAGTGCCCAGGTGAGACTGCAGCCAGGGTGGGCTTGCCTGGCTGGACCAGCTTCTCGGTGGCGGATTCTGGAACGGGGTGGGGGAACCCTGGGCCTTCTGACCGCTGCCTCCCGCCTGCTCTCCTCAGGTGGCCTCCCTGTACAGGAAGCAGAGTCAGATTCAGAACCAGCAGGGCGCGGACTTGGACTCCGACCCAGAAGATTTCTACTAGGCTCCCCTGCCCGGGGGCTGGGGGCGGGGGGCGCGGAGGTGGGGACACAGCGGTGTCCTGTTGCTTGGCAGACCTGGTGTTGCGGTCGTGCGGGTTTGGAGTGTCGCGGGTGTGTGTGTGTGAGGGGATGGCTTAAGCAGAGCCTGGGGTTTATTTGTTCATTTCTTTCAATAAATAATTATTGAACACCCATTGTCATGTCAGGGTGTGTGCTGGGCTCTGGGGGTACAGTTCCAGGAGCTCCCGCGTGGGTGGTGTGCGGCAGACAGGGTGCTAGCACCTTCCTGTAGAGTGCTCCGCGGCGCTGGAAACATCCTGCATCCACGCTGGGAAGCAGGACGGCCACCAGCCACAGGCGGCCGTGAGCACCGGAAATGCGGCCAGTGCACCTGACACCTGGGCCAGTACGTATTTTACCTCATTTTCATGAATTTTCCTGTAGGCAGCCACATGCAGTTAGTGGCTATCATAGGGGACTGTGGCGGCCTAGACCGTGAACGTTAACTCGAGGAACCTACAGCCCTCCTGCCAGGCAGGCAGTGTGGGGGCCCCTGCCCCACGGATGGGGGGGCAGCACAGAGCAGGGAAGTGGGACCCAGGCCCGCACCGGGGTTCTGACCCAGCAGCCTGGCACTGGGCCCCATCCTCGTGGGAGACAGTGCAGCGACTGTGTGAGGCTCCCCCCAGCTCTGCCACCCACTGACTGGGGACTGCTGGTTCTGGGGCCTGAGCCGTGAGGTTTGCTCATCCATAGGTCCCCAGCCCCGGCACGTAGTCGGTCCTGGTTTTCCTGATCAAAAAGGAGACCTGGTTGAGCAGCCCTGCCTGCCTGCCTCAACTACTGTGGATGTGATGGTTGGAGCCTGGGCCGCCACCTTGTGATCATGAGGAACAAGCCAGGAGTCTCAGGGACCGGTGACCCATGGGCAGCAGCGGGCTTCTGGTTGGGGTGGGGTGGGGTAAAGGAATAGTTACGATGTGTAATCCAGTGTGACTACCCCACTGTGGAATGGCTTTTGTTTCTCAGGGCCAGAAGAGTTCCTGACTGATACAGCTCTACCTCAAAGGACTAGCAAGTTAATGTGCAACCATATTTATCAAACTCAGCATGTTTAAGGCAAAATAATTGGTGTTGAGTGCTACGTGTCTGGGAATGCCCATGTCTGTCGGGCTCTGTGTACAGCCCCGTGGTTCCCTTAGGCATGGAACCCAGTCATCCTGGGGAAAGGGGGCCCGGGACATGCTCTTCCTCCCCACGCCCCTGCAGACCCCTGTGAACACAGCGCCCTGAGCAGCCATGGCTGCCCGGCCCTCCACCAGGGCTGGGCAGGGACGTCCTCACTCACCAAAGACACTCTCGACAATCTCACCGGATAGGAATTTTTATTACCCCATTTGACGGTTGGGGACACTGAGGCACAGGGATGTAAGTTACTGTCCCTAGGTCCACTATCTAGGAGATGGAGGGCCAGGATTTGGTCCGAGTGGTCCGCAGGAGGCCCTGTGCCCAGAGTGCTACTCGTGGGGAGCCTCGCGTGCCCCCTTGAGGGTGTGGAACCTAATCCTGCAGGCAGTGAAGGTCTGGGAGTGACGAGATCCTGCTGATGGCCGGAGAGGCGGATGGTAAAGGGATGAGGCTGGGGCGAGCAGGCCGGGGTGGGGGAGGGCAGCTAGAACATCTTCCCCTGGTGAAATGCTTCCAGAACTTGTCGAAACCATCAGGGGCAGACGGTGCTCGGAGCTGAGTCCTGGGGAGCGTGTGCAGAGCAGGGCAGCGGGGGAGGGGGGCAGGAGTGCTCATTCATAATTGCGCATGAATCGAATTTATAATTTCGATTTGTCCCATTACTGATGATGTTCGTTTGAATCATTTCATTAAGATACTCTCCGCTCGGTGTCCCTATAAAGTGACCCTCCTTTGCAATTAGCATATTGTAAGGGGATACCTTGTGCGATGTAAATAAATATTGTCAAGCTTGGCACTTTTTTATTGCTGTCTGTACAGATTCCCGGTTTCCTGTGTTACCCTATATACTCTGTTGGTATTTATTTGGATTTTCAAATTGCCCCTGGTATGGTCACTGGAGCTTCTTCAGGCTGACCTCTGTGTTCCTTGCCGTGACCCCACAACGGTGTCCTTGCTTTCCGGCACAAGAGATTTTGGGCTCCTGCTTGTCCTGCTCCAGATGTGGGAGCAGCCCTGTCTCCCAGGACTTGGCTCCTTTTCGTGGAGAATGGGATTTAGAAGCCCAGCCCTGGTAGCCGGAGGCCTCCTGCGTCTGTGTCCTCTTAGCTTGACGACATACGTGCCGGCACCCCCGTGCACACCGTGATGTCTGTTTACTGTTACATCCCTCTCTGTACAGAAACCCACCAGTACAAACCAGTGCCTCCACCCAACGCCCCAGACTCCTCCTTCCGCACCGCCACCCCGCTCAGCGGGGCCGCCCTTCCCGCCCTGACCCCGTGTCCACGCCCAGCACGGCGCTGCCCCCGCGAGCGGACATCCTCGGGACCTGCATCAGACACCTCCTCCTCTGCTCCTGCTCTCGCAGGGCCCGCCAGGCTCCCCGCCCACGGCGCACCCTCACCTCCCCAGGCCCCAACACCCTGGGGGCCCCGCTGCCCCTCGGGGGGCACCCCTTCCCTCCCTCTTTGAACTCTGGCTCCCTGTCCGGATCCCCTCCCAACCCCCGGGGCTTGGAGTGAGCACCCCGCAGGCTTGCTGGAACACCAATGAATGGGTGCCCTCTGCTCTAATCCCCGGTTTCAAAACCATCCAGTTCTATTCTGGGGATAAAAGGTCAGAGGCTGGGACTGGTGTCCCCTCCACCTCACTTGAGCCAGATGGGGAGGCAGGAACAGCTCTGATCCCTCCCCAACCCTGGGAGAGATTTCTGATCCAGCTGTTACAGCTCTCGGGCACCAGGACCGAGGGAGAGGCCCAGAGAGGCAGGAAGACTTGGCGCGGGAGTGCCAGGGAAGATAAGGAAGCTGAGCCGCCGAGGTGGACGGGAAGGAGGGGGCCAGGGAGCAGGGGGAGCCGACCGGAGCCTGGTGCCTGGTGCCTGGTGCACCCTGCCCTGCCCCCCCATGCAGTTTCCCATGGGCCCCGCCTGCATCTTCTTGAGGAAAGGCATCGCTGAGAAACAGCGGGTGAGGTGGCGGACAAGGCAGAAGGGCAAGGCGAGGGGAGCTGGGGTGGGGGGGAAGAAGGGGCGTGACAGGCGCGAGGGACCAGGAGCCGGTGAGGGGGCCACAGGCAGGGGCGCGTGACTGAGAAAGTAGAATTCGGGGAGCTCGGTGGGCCGGTGAGGTGGGTGAGGGTGAAAGCAGAAGTCAGCAGCAAAAAGGAGAGAGGGAGAAGACCCACCAATAAAAGGGGAACTGGGATGTCCCTGTCCGTCACCACCCGTTTCTGGGGACACCCAGAGAGAGCGAGGACGACGATGACATTAGCTGCCACTTAACCAAGGCACTGCCCTGCGCAACAGGCTGTGCTTTCCTGCTGTCGTTTCATCCTCAGGACCACCTTGTAAGGTTGGCCACCCTTGCGTTCCCATTTCACAGATGCAGGCACTGAGGCTGAGGCACAAAGCCCCTTGCCTTATGCAGTTACTGAGTGGCAGGGTCCAGTCAGGTTGCTTTGATTCCAAGGGGCTTACATGTCCTTGTTAGACTTTCAGATGACCAGAGAGAGGGAGGGAGGGAGGGAGACGGGGGAGGGGATAAGAAAGAGAAGCTGGGCGGGGGGAGGCTCCAAGGATAGAGGGAGAGCCCAGAGGCTGCTCCCCAAGTGGCGTGCCCCATACCCAATGATCATCCTGCCTGGATGCCACTGAACACTGGTCCCACGCAAATGGCTTCTAACCCTTGGGAGAAACAATGGGGTGGGTGGGGCAAGAATCCAGGGGGTGTAGTGGAAGGAATTTTGACTCAGAATTCAAATCTCAGCACTCGCTGCACCTGACATCGAGGGAGTCATTTAATGTCTCCCTGCCCTGGGAGGGGCTCTGCCACTTAGGAGCTGTGTGACCTCAGGCTGTTCCCTTAACCTCTGTGTTCCTCAGTTTCCTCTCGAGTAAGATGGGAATGCTGTTTGGTCCTACCTCCCCTACCTACCTCTGAGGTTTAAATGAAATTGGCACTCTGAGCACATTAGCTGTGATTCCAAGCCTCGCTTTCTCGCCCCGGAGAAAGGAGGGGATTGGATGGCCTGGCATCGAAGGCCTCTTGCAGCACAATGGGATGGATGTCTGTTCAGGAAACACAGAGGGAGAGAGATCAAGATTCCGGGATGGGAGAGAGGAAATGGGAAGTGATGAGGAAGAGGGCGAGAAGCAGTCAGGGGTGGGAGTCGGCGGGGGGGGCGGGGGGGAGAAGAAAGAGGTTGGGGAGGTGGAGGAGAAACAGGAAAGGGGAGGGGTCACTCGGAGGGGACGATGCATTTGGAGAAGTGGATACTGGATCCCTGACCTTCTCCAAATTCCCTCTCCCCCGCATTCCTTTCCAGGAAAGACCCCTGGGACAAGATGAGATCGAAGGTAACCTCTGTCCCCAAATGCCGCCTCACTGTCATCCGCCGCTAGGCTGCTCTCTGTGCATCTCAGGGTAGACCCTTCCCACGAAAGCTTCACACCCCTCTCTCCTCCCACTCAGCCGTGATTTTGCGGAACTCCTTTTCACGGTCACTTAGGAGTCTCCCAAAGTGTTTAGAAGGCACGCCCATTCCCTAAGTGTCTCAGAGACCCAAGAGGGACACAAGCATGAGTTTTAAGACGAATCAAAACTGTTGGTTTTTCTTTTGGTGGTTTGGAAGTTTCCCATAATTTCACCCCAGAATTTGGAGGACTGCGGTGCTGTCGCTTTGCAGTCTCACGGATCATTCCTCTTGCACATTTCGATCTTGCATGTTGCAATCTCCACCTGCATTTCATACGTCACTCCTTTTTGAAATTTTGGTTTTCAAAGATGTCTTCTCCTTTGAGGAGTCTCTAGTTGGTGCCTCCCTGATGGTTTCAAGGGATGCCAGTGTTCCCCATGGACTGTTTCAGGTTCCCCCAAAGTTCTTGTCTCTTAACTTTCAGAGCTTCAGGAAGCATTTCTTGAGTTCGACAAGGACAGAGATGGGTTCATCTCCTGTAAGGATCTGGGGAATCTCATGAGGACGATGGGTTACATGCCCACGGAGATGGAGCTGACTGAACTGGGCCAGCAAATCCGCATGAACTGTGAGGCCAGGGCGGGAAGAACCCCTGGGCGTGGGGGTAGGCTATGATGGAAGGGGAAAGAGGGTAGGGGTCACTAGGAGTCTAGAAGCAAACAATCCAGGCTAGACTCAGGGAGGCAGCATTTGAAGTGGATAGAAGGGTGACTCTTAGAGGCAGATCTGGGTCCAAGACCCACTTGTCTCATTTACTGATTGTGGTGCTTTGAAATGTGGAGTCAGCTCCCACTCTTGAGTCTCAGGTTCCCCGCCCGTCAGGCAGAGGTGATGTCACTCCTTGCGGGATTTCGATAAAGGAGCTGATGCAGGTCAGGCTTAGCCTCCAGTAGCGATGATCGATGGAGGTCACTACCATGACCACTGAGACGCATCAGTAGAGGGCAAGACTGGAACCACATTTGCCGCTGGAAACAAACTTGGGATGGATTTCAGAGCTCATTTTGAGAAGGAAGCTGGGACAGAATTGCTTTGGGGTCTGCTTCCGGGCGTGCCACAGAGGAAACAAGGTTGAACACGGATGGGATCGTGTTCCTATCTGGAAGCGATTTGGCTCCCACTGAATTCATGCTCCCCCTTCTACAGACCGACAGACAAGCCAATGTAGATCTGAACCAATTAAGAGATTGGCCTAAGGTCACAGGGAAAGCTAGTGACTTCCACCCCACGCACCCGTCCAGCCGGGTTGGGATTAGAGGGACCCTGGGGCCTGGGTAGGCTGAGAGGGAAAGCTCTCAGAAGACAGAGAGATCAGAGCAGGTCTCCCTCTTGAACAGACTTTGAAGGGTCCAGGGAGGTCATGGGGGGTTGGTTACGTGGAATCTCACTAGACCTGCCTCTTCTGTCCTCAGTGGGTGGCCGTGTGGACTTCGACGATTTTGTGGAGCTCATGACTCCCAAACTGCTTGCAGAGACAGCAGGGGTGATCGGTATCCAGGAGATGAGAGATGCCTTCAAGGAAGTGAGTTCAGAGTTTCATGGTGTTGGTGCTTGAAGGAAACCCCAGGGGTCTACGATTGGTCTTCAAGTGTGGACGGAACCCACCCAAACCAAGTTTTTTGGAAACTATAATGGGATTTATAGGGAAGGAAAATGACGTTTTCCAAACACTTGCAAGGCACGAGGTGCCCTACATATATGCTCTAGTTTAATCATCATAAAGAACAGTAAGGGTAAGCCGCCACTTACCGCAGTTATGCATACGAGGACATTGAGGCTCCTGGGATTTACAAATCTTACCTGAGGTCCTGCCATCCCCAGAACACATGTTAGGACCTCTAATCTCCATGCCCACAATGGGAAGAAGGAATCCAATAATTTGAGATCCCAGAGGGGAACACAAAGAGATAATCTGGTTTAACCCACCTGTAGAGATGCTTAGAAAATGAGACCCAGGGAGGGTAAGGGGCTTGCTGAATGAAGTTCGCTTTCATCCCCTAATAAAATGCATTCCTCAGGGGCACCTGGGTGGCTCAGTGGGTTAAGCATCTGACTCTTGGTTTCGGCTCAGGTCATGATCATGGGGTCGTGGATCAAGCCCCACGTCGGACTCCACGCTCAGCAGAGTCTGGCCATCTCCCTCTCCCTCTGCTTCTCCCCCAGCTCACGCTGTCTCGCTCTCTCTCAAATAGATAAATAAAATCTTTAAAAATAAATAAATAAATAAAACTCTTTCCTCAGAGCTTTCAGTATAGGAGGCAAAAATAAAGAATAGTGTAGCCTTTGGAAGGAAAGACTTTGGAGCTGTGCAAACATGGGTCCAAATCCCAGGAAGATCTCCCCCTACCAGCTGTGTGATTTTTTTCTGTCCCAGCTTCACATAAAGGTCCAGAGCTGCATTGTCCAACAAAACTTCCTGGGATCTCAGAAACGCTCTGTCCAAAATGCAGCCACTGGCCATATATGTCGAGCCCTCGATATACGGCAAGTGTGACTGAGGAACTCATTTTTTTCATTTTATCTAATTTTGATTAGTTTCCTTTTCTTGAGATTTTATTTATTTATTTGACAGAGAGAGACAGAGCGAGAGAGGGAACATAAGCAGGGGGAGTGGGAGAGGGAGAAGCAGGCTTCCTGCTGAGCAGGGAGCCCGATGCGGGGCTCGATCCCAGGACCCTGGGATCATGACCTGAGCCGAAGGCAGACGCTTAACGACTGAGCCACCCAGGCGCCCCTAATTTTGATTAGTTTCAATTTGATTATTTATTTAATTCCTGTTTACATTCAACAGAATATAAATTCAATTTGTTTGAATTTAAAAACAAATATGCAATTCAGTTACTGGGAAACATTCCTTTTGGAAAACCTTGGGTGTGTGGATCTACCTTTTCTTTCTTTTTTTTTAAGATTTTATTTGTTTGAGAGAGAGAGAGCACAGGCAGGGGGAGTGGCAGTGGGAGAGGAAGAAGCAGGCTCCCTACTGAGCAGGGAGCCTGACATGGGGCTCCATCCCAGGACCCTGGGATCCTGACCTGAGCTGAAGGCAGACGCTTAACCCACTGAGCCACCCAGGCACCTGATTTGTTTTAAATGAACATGAACACAAGGCCCTGATGTGTGGACCACGATGGGAGCCAGAGGACCAATCAGGGGGGCTGTCATGATAGTCCAGGCAGGAGATGACTGTGGCTTCGGCCAGGTTAGCATCAGTGTCCCCGGCTCGGGACGTAGAACGTACGAGACTTTCTGATGATTGGTTAAAGGTGTGCAGCGTGGAGGCTTGAAAACAGTTAATTAATTCTGCCAATATTTATCTGGTGCATGCCGTGTGGCAGGCACTGTTTGGGGGCTGGGCCCGGGGCAGTGAACAAGACCGTGCAGATGACCCGCCTTCTGGGAGCTGACACGCCAGTGTGCCATGTGCAAGAGCCCTTAGTTTAGTTCCTGACCCACAGTAAACGGTCAGTAAACAGCGCTCTTGTGCTTGTGGCTGACGTCACCACTCTGTTCTGCTCAGTTTGACACCAACGGAGATGGGGAGATCACCCTCGGGGAGCTGCAGCAGGCCATGCAGAGGCTTCTGGGAGAGAAGCTCACGCCCCAAGAGATCTCGGAGGTTGTGCAGGAGGCCGACGTGAACGGAGACGGTACCGTCGACTTCGAAGGTGACATCGCGTGGGGACAGCTACTCGCAGACGCTTAACCCGCTGAGCCACCCAGGCGCCACAACAAAAGCTAAATTCTTAATCCAGTATTCAAGTGCATCGATGGTCTGCCCCCCACCCACTCCACATTTCCACAACCTCTCTCTGAGTCGCTGTGCTCTGGGACACCCTTGGCCCCTGTTCTGTGTCCTCAAAATCCTGTTCCTTTCTCCTTGACCTTCCTTCCGCTTCCTGCACCTTCCCCGTCAGTGCATTCTCAGGTCTTAGCTGTCCCTCGGGAATCGTCTGCTCCTCTCCCTTCAAAGGGAGTAATCACTGCAGACCTTGCTGCTTTGAGTTGAGTTTGACCTCCCGGGCTGTCAAATCCTGGAGGGCGGTAAGGGATGTTCTCTGAACCATCTGTTCTCTCATTCCCAAGAGGGAAGCTTGGTAGATATTTATTGCGTGACTGCAACTTAGTAAATGATTGCTGGATGCCTGCTGGATCTCACCAGAGTCAGGTGTACAGGGGGCATCACTGGAAATCTGGGTGAGGTAGGAGACAGATCCCCAGGCAGGGGAGGGACAGATTGACCTCAGGACCTGGGCCGGGCCCCGGAGTTCACCTGGCATGGAGTCATGGAGCAGAGCCAGGGGCACCCTGCGTTCCTTCCAAGCTTTGCCACTCACCGTCCACGTGATCTCAGGCGCACTGGTCAACCTCACTGGGCTCTGTTTGCTTATCTGTAAAATGATATTTACTCCTCCAGAATTGGTTGAAAAGATGGAATCAGATAATCATAGTTATTATTGAGCAGTCCCTGTGTCTATAAGCATGATCGTGTTTAACCATCTGAAAGACTATGGAAGGTATATGGCAGTCCTGTGACTCCCCGTTTGGAGATGAAGAAACGGAGGTACACGGGGTCGTCAAGGACTTTCCCGAAGATCCCCCATGGTCCCTGACCCACACAGTGAGGGCTCAAAAATGAATGCTCGCTGTTCTCACAAAAAGATGCCTCACCGGGGACTTTTCTTTGCAGAGTTTGTGAAGATGATGTCTGGCTGAGGAGGTTCTGGAAGCCCCGTTTGCTCCCCACCTGGCCCACGTGGATCAAGCACTTGCTGAGGACCAAATCCCCCCCGGGCCCTTCCAGGAGAGAGGGTGGGAGGGTGCGTGGTGGCTGGCCCCACAGAGAATGAGCTGAGGCTAGCCCGAAAGTGATCGCTTTGCCCGGATGGCGGGGTGGGGTGAGGGGCACCTCTCTAGAATGAGATTAAGAAGGAAGAGTCTACGTATGGAAATGAGATTGGGACCAGCGTCAGTGCCACTCCCCCAGGTCCAAAGGTTAATGACATCTTTTGACTGCGTAATCCCCAATGCCTGTGACCCGCCAGCGTCTCTTCCCCAACGCCCTCTTGGGTCCGACTCCCAAAAAAGTTCAGCCCGCAGTCCACCCTTCCCTGTTGTTGCTTCCGATCTCCTCAGTTTCTTTCTGTCAGTAAGAGAGAGGCATGCCAATCTTGGGGTTACAAACGGGGTTCCTGATAAGACTGGGCTTGGAAATGGTTAATTAAAAAGGCTTCCAAAGTGAGCTTAGCCTGTTTCGTTGATTTCCCGGAAGCTCGGTCTGTTTTTTCCCTCCGGTCTCCTACTTCCTTTTCCTTGTGTAAGATACTCAGGCCACTGAATTAAATCATAAATCTGGATTACCAAGGTTTAGAGCAAGCTGATCCCTGGAGGGGGGGAGATTAATCCCCTGCAAAATGTCATCATGTAAAGAGAGGGGGGACGGGGAGGGAGTTCTCAAATTCTCGGCTCAGCCAGGTGGTGTGGAAACCGTTCCTGGGAACCCCAGCCCCGCTGTGTGTCCGCCCTGGGCACTCTGCGAGATTGCCTCTGTTAGGCGGGACGTTGTGCCAGCCCTCACACCCTGACGCGGACCTGCGCCCTGAAATGGGAGGGTCTCTTGCTCCTCACCTCCGTCTGCGGGCAGGATGCTCCAGGAACACAAGGTCCCTGAAGTACAGGATTCATATCCCACTTTCTGCCAGGTTTTTTGCACGTTTGAAACCCACGAAGTAGATATATACAAAGGGTCATCAGGTTCAATAGCCTTGTTTCATAAAATTAAAATTAAAATTTCCTTTTGCCCGCCCTCCCTTCCTTCCTTCCTTCCTTCCTTCCTTCCTTCCTGTCCTCCTTCCCTCCTGCACTTCATTTATTCAACAGCGACGTATGAAGTGCTTGCTGTGGGCACACTTCCAAACATGGGGCTCCCTCGGTGAATGAAATACACGGATCCCCGCCTCCTGGGAGCTTACATTATAAAAGGAGGAGACAGACATGGAGCAAAATACATGGGTATGGTAGAAGATGGTAAGAGATATGAAGAAAAATGGAGCAGGAAACTGGTTTAAGGGGTCTGAGAATGAGGAGGAGTCCCCATTCCACATAGGGGCATCAGGGAGTCTACTGAGCACCAGGGGCATATCCAGGGGAAGAGCACTTCCAACACAGTGTAGGGTGAATGCAAAGGCCCTGAGGCAGGAATGTAGTTGACTGTGGTGGAGGCATGGGGAGAGGCCATGGTGGCTGGACAGGGGTAGGTGGTGGATCAGGGGTTAAACCGTGCATGTTTAGAGGCCAGTCTGAGGACCTTGGAGGATTTTGAGCAGAGGAGTGACATAATCCAGATCAGCCTTTAAAATATGGCTTCTGCCTCCTGTCTCAGCTCCATCTCATTCCAACCATATACCTGTCCATCTGTCCATCCCACTCACTCACTCACTCACCTATTCAACATGATACTTGCTGAGTCCCTGCTCTATGCCGGGCATTATTCCAGGTGATGGAAATAGAGCAATGATAAGGTACTTGACCTCAAGGAGCTTGTATTCTAGAGCCACACAATCCAATGGGATCTTCTGTGATGATGGAATGTTCTAGGTCTGCACTATTATGGTAGCCACTTGCCACATGTGGCTACTGAGTTTTAAATGTGGTGAGTGAGGCTGAGAAACAATTTTATTTTTATCTTACGAAGTTAACATTTTATCGACGATGATTTTTTTTTAAAGATTTTATTTATTTATTTGAGAGAGAGAATGAGAGATAGAGAGCACGAGAGGGAAGAGGGTCAGAGGGAGAAGCAGACTCCCTGCCGAGCAGGGAGCCCGATGCGGGACTCGATCCCGGGACTCCGGGATCATGACCTGAGCCGAAGGCAGTCGCTTAACCAACTGAGCCACCCAGGCACCCTCGACAATGATCTGATGAATGACGTCAGGGGGGCAAGAGGAAGGGGATTCCGCACAAGCAAGGCACAGAGGCTGGAGTCAGGAATAGGGCGGTGGCTGGAGTGTACTGAGTGAGGGGGCAGTGGTAGGAAGTGTGTGAGGGAAGGCTGGAGACAATGGGGGGGCACACGTGGGATCAGGGGGCAGGAGAGCCAGGTTTCCTGTGGCATGTTTGTACGTGATTAAGGGAGGATTGATCACTTGGTTGTTCTTGAGCTACAGTGGAATGAGATCGTCGGGCTTCTCGAATGTCTATGCAACATCATTTTAGACAATCAAATTGGTACCAAATGTGGTTGAATGGTTAAATCTATCCCTGATGCCTGCATGCAGTGTGGGATAGTGGTAGCAGTTTTTCAGTGTTTTATGAGAGAGGAGGGGTGGGGGAGAGCGGGCAGGGGGAGAGGGAGGAGAAGAACAATATGAGGATGCATCTGGACTCACAGGGAAACAGATTCTGTAATCAATTACTGATATCTGTGACGGGCATGGGGAAGGAATAGTCAAGGTAGTCTTGCAATGAATTTTCTTTTTTTTTTAATTCTTTATTTAAATTCAATTTAGTTAACATACACTGTATTATTAGTTTCAGGGGTAGAATTTAGTGATTCGTCATTTGCATATAATACCCAGTGCTCATTACATCGAGTGCAATGAATTTTTTACCTTCTGTTTACTTACTAATTTATTTATTAATGATTTAACAAGTATCTATAAATGCTCCACCCAAATCTGTGGGTTCCCAGAAAGAGATAGCAGGCTGCAGTTAACTTCCAAGGGCCCCTGGGCTGAGAATCTGACCTCCCCCCATGAGACTCCCCAACCCAGTCACCAACGCTTCCTTCACCACACATTCCAGTCCCTCACCATATCTCTCATTCCAAGAAGCACAAAGGGCAGCGCTGGGGTTAACTGTGGGCTCCTTTATTGGTGGTTATGCCACATTTCCCCACTGTTCTTCACAAAGGACCGAGTGATTAAGCAAAATGGCGGACAAGGTGTTTCTAAAAGCGATTAAACTTGAAAGATTCAATGAAAAAGACGAAGCAGGTTCTAAACTTGGTATATCCATCTTCCTCTGAAGATATTTCTCCTCCCCTGGAAAATGGAATCATAAGCCAGCATTCAGGTAATAGGTACGCACTGACTCAAAATGTAATGTGAATACAGAAGTATTGTATTGGGTTTCAAGACTGAATCAGAAGATGAGGCAGCAGAGCCAAGAGGGGTTAGACACCCCTGCCCCTCACCTGGCTCACGGGGGCTGGAAGCCACTGACCATGAGCACCTTAACTTCACCTCTACTAATAGGTTTGGTGGAAGAGGGATCCGAAGAAGATAGCTGTGCTCTGGTGGACAGGAGTCAGAGGTAGGGCACTAAAAGTGTTCTTCATTCTAGCCACAGCCTGGGGATGACTCGTGGGTATTTTTGGTTTTGGTTTTGGATTTGTTTTAGAGAGAGAGTGTGTGTGTGCAAGTGGGGGGTGAGGGGGAGGGAGAGGGAGAGAATCATGAGCAGACTCTGTGCTGATCATGGAGCCTGACTCGAGGCTCGATCCCATGACCCTGAGATCATGACTCAAGCCAAAATCAAGAGACACTTAACTGACTGAGCCACCCAGGTACACCAACTTGTGGGTGTTTTTAAATATCCACCCTGTTAAGATGGTACCCAGAGCCCCAAGCCCACTCCTTTGCCTCTCCTCTGTTCTGGGAAGATAATTTTCATAGCCAAGCCAAAATTCAGGAGGGGTCACTAATTTTGGTGTCACCCATAAGCCACATGCCTCATAAGGGCAAATATTTCTTTTTTCTTTTTTTTTTTAAAGATTTATTTATTTATTTTGAGAGAGTGAGAATGAGAGAGAGAGAGAGTACATGAGAGCGGGGAGGGTTAGAGGGAGAAGCAGGCCCCTCGCCGAGCAGGGAGCCCGATGCGGGACTCGATCCCAGGACTCCAGGATCATGACCTGAGCCGAAGGCAGTTGCTTAACCAACTGAGCCACCCAGGCACCCAAGGGCAAATATTTCTAGAAACACCCTGTCCACACATCTGATGAAAGGGCTTCTGTTTGTGTTTAAATCCCAGAACCACTGAATGATTAGACCAGTGGACCCATGCAGGGGCTCTGGAGAGTTTCCACTCGCCTAAGAATATTGAAGCCAGAGGAAAGGGCTGGAAGGGGGAGTGAGGTTGGTCCTGCAGGGAGAGTTAAAGACTTATGTGTGGAGGTGGGGGAGGGACCCACACAATGGAGAGCAGAAGTGACCCCTACCTTTTCCTCCTTTGGCTACTTAGTGATGGGGTAGCAGATCAACAACCTGGTGCCATGTCCTCTGGGGACCAGAGAAATTCTGGTGGTCTCCTTTCAAGCTCATCTTTTCTTCTTACGTTCCAGTTTGAGAAATTGCATTTTCTTATCTTGCACACCCAAGGCCTCCTGGACCTAAAACTTGGCATGATACCTTTCTGGGTCTGAAAGAGTTTGTCCACCTCCTTCTAATTTGGGAAGCTGTCCTAGTCTCCCCCCACCCCCACTTCACCTCATCTCTGGGACGTGGAGCTCACCCTGCTGGAAGGACACAGCATTGCCCCAGGTATGTTATGCATCTCACCTTTGCATCAGCAATACACCCAGGTGTGGTCCTGGTCATAGTTGTAAGAGGTTGCGCACCACGTAAGGTTCTGCTTTGTGCCTTTGTCGGTACAGTTAAAATAATTTTTGTTTTTATAGTTGAATGGGAAGTGGCAGGGAAAGCCAGGAACCAAGGAGGAAATTCCTAGGGAGAAGAAGGGGATAGGACAGTGGTTACCCCTGTGCTTTTATGCTATGGTGAAGGCTTAGGCTTCAGAGCCCACCCTAAAATCCAAATTGGGTCCACAATGCCTGTGGGTGTGTTGTTTGGGCACTGCTCAGAGGTTCCCATTAGTGGAGAGAAATGCTGACCTAATCCTAAATATCATAGAGATTTTCTTCCCTGGGAAGCTATTTGAGTTTAGCTCAATGGGGTATGGAATGGGGAACGAGGGCAGAGTGAAAGCACAAGGGTTCCTGGCAGTGGGAGAGAGAAGGACAATGTCATGTCACCAAGGGAACCAGGGAGTGGAGTGGGAAGCATGGAGAGGACATATTACAGGGGCTCCTCTTTACTCACAGATCCTCAATGTGTGAATTCGCCACTTGCTAAAATTTATTTGGAACCGAAATCAATACTGGTGGGGCTTCTGCGGCCATGTGTGGACACACAACACCCATGTTCCTAGATGAAGCCCAGCAAGGCTGCACCCTGCCTTCTCCATGCAACTCTTGTGCTGTAGACAAGGGTTTAAAATGCCCAAGTGCAGGGGCGCCTGGGTGGCTCAGTCGTTAAGCGGCTGCCTTTGGCTCAGGTCATGATCCCAGGGTCCTGGGATCGAGCCCCGCATCGGGCTCCCTGCTCCGCGGGAAGCCTGCTTCTCCCTCTCCCACTCCCCCTGCTTGTATTCCGGCTCTCGCTGTCTCTGTCATATAAATAAATAAATAATCTTAAAAAAAAAAAAAAATGCCCAAGTGCTGTGCTGAAGAGCTGTCCAGAGTCCTGAAGTGCAGGCAATCTGGGATGTGCTTTATGGGAAAATAGTATAATATATTTACAGAGAAATATTCTATTTTCCTTCCTTGAGGGCTTCTGCCCTGATCGTCCACCAAATCTACGTTTGTTCTCCTTTGTTAGCAAAATTATCCAAAACACGCAATGGCACCAAAAGATTGCCACATGACCTTTTCATGTCTTCCTAGAGCATTGTCTAAACAATCCCTTAGGGTCACCTGACTCTCTAGCTCAGTGACAGCAAACTTTTTCTAGAAAGGGCCAGATGGTAGGTGTTTTCAACTTCATGCCTCATTCAGTCTCTGTCTTTATATATGGGCCCTAAGATATGAATTTCAAATAATTTTTGTCTGTCACAAAATATGATCATTCTTTGGAATTTTTTCAACAATATAAAAATGTAAAAACAATTCTTAGGTTAGGGGCCAAAAGAAACATTGGCACAGATGTGACCCATAGGAAGGATGGGGTTCACAGACCCCTGCTCTAGGGAAATAGGACTTTGTCTGACTTACTACCTGCTGTTGATCGGAAGCCCCAACTCTGGAACTTGTAGAAGACTGATACGTCGTGACTGATTTTTGTTCAACAGAGATGCCAATAATTTCTGTCTGGTAGACAAGATAACCACAAAGATTTGATTGCCCTTTAGATGTTAATGGATTTTGTGGCTAACTTAACAATCTTGCTTGCGCTCAATATTCTTCTCTTCACTGACTTTATGTATTTCTTATAATGTCCCCTGAATTGGCTTACCTATCCTTCTAGTTCCCTTATTAATAGATTTTTTTCTTTAAGTAGGCTCCATGCCCAGCGTGTAGCCCAATGCGGGGCTTGATCTCATGACCCTAAGATCAAGACCTGAGATGAGATCAAAGGTTTGACACTTAACCAAATGAGCCACCCAGGCACCCCAGATTTTTTTAAACCTTAACATGTGCTTACTCTGTTTGTACAAACAAATATTTGGTGTTTCACATTTTGAAAATCTTATACTGACCCCTTTCTCTTGGATCTTCAACAGCCCATATTTTGCCCGTCACACAGTTGCATTATTTATGCTCTTTGCTCATCAGATCCATGAGGAAGAGACCCTGCATTACTTTTACCATATGCCCACATCCCAGCACGGTGTCTGGCACACAGTAGGGATGGAGTAGGTGTTTGCTGAGTAAATGAATGAAGGAATCCACCCGTGTCCACCCAGTCCCCTTCCCCGGATTACTAGTGTCAGCACAGAGGCTCCACTTTCCATCCTCATCCATGTTTTCAGTGGTTGGGCACCAGAACTTGTTGCTTTCATCTTCAAGGCACTCAGAAATTGTGCTATTTCTGTAGATGGAGGGGAATATGCAGGGCTTGCTGAAAGAATTTCCCCCATACTCTGAAAATAATCATGGAAAGGTCACAGGGACAAGAAGAGACAACAAAAAGAGCTTCCATTTATCACACATGAACTAGGCGCCATGTTTTATCTCATGAAAGGCAACATAACATTGAACGTGCCCAGTCGAGTTCCTGGTGATGTTATTATGTCCACTTTGCATACAAGTGAGAACCCAAACTGTCAACGACCACACATTACTGTCTACCTGAAAAAAGGCTTTTGTGTTCCACAGGCTTCATCAACAGAGTTATTGTGAGATTTAAGGATAAGGTTGGTAGGGTTAAGGACACAAGTGAAGGATGGCTAGGGCAAAGATAAAATTAAGGTTCTATATGGGATTAGGATTTTTTGAGTGCTAAGGGAAGAACATAATTAAGATTTTATACAGGAATAAGTGTGCTCATGATAGGTGCCTCATGTGAATCTTCATCTCTATGGAGGCACACTACTTAGTGAGAAAGCACGGCATCAGAGCCATATTGACTTGAATTCAAATCCTAACTCCGACATCACCTAGGAGTGTGACTTTGGATGGGACTTAATTTTACTGTGACCATTTATTGAATAGGGAAAAAAATAGCATCTCATAGAGCTTCCATGGAAAGATTCAATGGAAAGTTATATATAAAGATCCTGGATCAGAGTCTAATACAGAGAAGGCTCTAGAATGAATGGAGGTCATTAAGAAGTGAAGAAGTTACTAAGATGAAATGTTAAGGAAGGGTCCAGCACTTGGTGAATCTGCTTATTGACAATTCTGGCAACAGAAATACTTGAAAACCAATATCAGGACTACAGCCCATTGTTCTGGTTCTTAGGACAACTGGATTTTCCATGCTGACATTTGGGACTTGGGGGAACATGGCCTCAGGACATTCCTGTCTCCTGCAGTTGTCCTAATGTATTCTCCAAGAAGACCCTTGATTCCTAGAAGTATTACTCCCATTGCTCTGCTTTCCCCTGTGCCATCGTCCCCTCAGTAGGATCATTGCTATCTCTCCTCCTTCCCACCAAACACCCCATCCCTGCTCTAGTGCCTCACCATTGGTTTCACAGTATTTCCACTGCTGCTTCTCATCAAAGCTGGAGGTGACAGAGCACCACAGCCTTCCAAGGAAGCTGCCCTCCATGATGCAGCTGTTATACGACCTTCCTCGATAGACGAAGGGGAAGATGCATCGTGGGTAATCTGTACAGAAAGGAGCCCGTGAATGGTTTGACTTTCTCCAGCCATTCACGGGACAGTCATTTAATCATCCATCTATCCATCCATCCATCCATCCATCCATTAGCCACCAAAGTACAGGACAAACATCAAGTCTGGAAGAGATTTTATTCATTCATTTCATCAAGCATTTCATAAAGAAAGCCTTTTCCTGTACTTTTACCCTCAAAGCTTCCCCAACAGAGTTCCCAATCTCAACCATGGCGCCCCCACATACTGCACAAACAAACAACATACTTCACTGTGTCTTAAAAATGAATCTCTTAGAATCAGCAGAAGACATATAGGAATCAAATCAAGACAAAGAATTTTGATGGTTTATGACCAACAGATGAAGTCAAGACCTTGACATACAAAAGAATGTTGCCATTAAAAAAATGTCAAATATCAGAGAAGTCAAATACAGTAAAATTATTATCTAGGTGTTGGTGCCTTATTGCAACTCCCATAGATAGATTGAATTTTCCACCACAAATGTAGTACTACAAATATAGTTTTGAACATTATGTTTATAGTGGGTGGATTTACTCACAGTAAGTGAGGGAGTCAGGGTCATTTGGAAATGATGGAGGGGTTTTCATAGATGAAGGGATGAAGGAAGTCTTCCTTGAGCAGGTGGCATTTGAGAAGAGGTTCTCACAATGTGGAGAAGCCAGCCATGCAAAAATTGGGGAGAATTGAGGTCCAAGCAGAGGGAATGAAAGTGTGAAGAGTTTAAAGACGGGAAGGAGTTCAGAATATTCAAGAAGCATGACAATTAGTGTAGCTGGATCTCAGCAGGCAAGGAAGGGAGTGGAAAAAGATGAGCATAGAAAGGGCAATGTCATGTAGAGCTTTGCAGACCAAGGTGAAGGGTCTCCTTCTCCTCACCCCCCTCCCCTCCTCCTCCCCCTCCTTCTTCTTCCTATTGAATTGTAGGAGTTCTCTTGGATATTTCAGATATTAACCCCTTATCAGATACATGATTTGTAAATATTTTCTCCCCTTCCATGGTTGCCTGTTCATTTTATTGATGGTTTCTTTTGCTATACAGAAGCTTTGTAGTTTGATGTAGTCCCACTTGTTTATTTTTGCTTTTGTTGCCTTTGATTTTGGTGTCAAATCCAAAAAAAAAAAATCATTGCCAAAACTGATGTCTCACAGCTTACCCCCATGTTTTCTTACAAGAGTTCTGTGGTTTCACATCTTATGTTCAAGTCTTCAATCATTTTGAGTTGACTTTTGTGTATGGTGTAAGATAGGGGTCCGGTTTATTCTTTTGCATGTGGCTGTACAGTTTTCCCAACACCACTTAATGAAGAGATTGTCCTTTCCCCATTACATATTCTTGGCTCCTTTGTCATAAATTAATTAACCATATATGCCTTAGTTTATTTCTGTTCCATTGATCCATGTGTCTGTTTTTATGCCAATACCATACTGTTTTTATTACTATAGCTTTGTAATATAGTCTGAAATCAGGAAGTGTGATATCTCCTGCTTTGTTTTTCTTTCTCAGTATTGCATTGGCTATCCAGGGGTCAGGATATTCTTCTAACTGTGCAGGTGAGCCACAGGGACATGAGCAGGGAAGTAGCATTGCCTGACTTCACATTCCAAAAAAGGTTCTTTGACTGATGTGTGGAGAATCGGTTACAGGGAGGTGAGGGGGATCTGGGGAGACCAGTTAGCAAATTTTGGCAGGCAGAGTTGATGGTGATTCGGAGAAGGATGGAAGCAGAGGAAGCAGGTTCTTCCCAGAAGCTGAAGCTAGGATCTATTTTGAAGGCAAAATTAAGTCTAGTTAAAGCTATTTGCAAGTAGTGTGATACCCACCAGTGTGGGTCCAAAGAGCAGTACTTGGTTCAGGAGCCAGAGCTGAGGGAGGAGATGCAAAAAGCATACCTTCATCTATTCAGGAGCCCTCAGTGATATGGCTGAAAGAGGTTTAATCAAATGCAGGTTGTTGACTCTCTAGGCCTTAATTGTGTCTAGTATATGCACTTTTGGCAGAGTTTTGTCCCCTTTTGTACATCTTATGCATGTTCGGGGACCTCTTTTCCAGAATTAAAAAAAAAAAAAAACGCTCTAATTTTCAGATTCAGTTTCAACCAGTTGATCCTGATTTACATTGTTTGAACTGGAGCAATATTTTCAATCAGAGATAGTATTGCTTCCAGCTTTGGTTTGTTTTTTTTTCAGCATAATGGGGCTTCTTTGTAGTCATTTTTAGCTCTTACAATCAAAGAGATTCTGCTTGGAGGTACAAGCATCTGGCCACTTTTTAATATCTTTTAGGTTAGTTAGGATCACGCGTGCTTAATTATTTTATTATCAATTTGCTTCATTTTATTTCCTATACTGCAGTTATGGAATTATGTTGATTTATTTTGACATTATGAATTTAGAATAGGTAATGTTCTTTATAAATTTTATTTCAGGATAGTAAAAGGGATGTTATATTTATTATCAAAGGGAGAATTTGATCTAAGGGAGTCAAGAACAGTGGTAAGAGAGAAAAGTAAGTCCTAAATATTCAAAAGCCGGTTAGTAGAAGGAACAATTAAAATGTCCAACAATAGGGTATTGGTTAAAACAAAATGCCTTTTGTCTTGTGCACAAAAGATAGAAATCATATCATTGCAAAAATGTCTTGGGCTTTGAGAAAAAAGTAAACAGAGGCTCTCAAATCCCTTCTCTGTTATATTGTTTCTGTTTTTCCTTATCAATTTAGAAAATCAAGAAAGAGACAAAGAATTTGGTGGTTCAGAGAATACCATTTTCAACACTATTGTTGTTAACATTATTATTCATTACTAGTATTCAGTGTTTAGCCTCCTGCAGGCATTTCTATGCACACACACATATATCATAACCTGTCTTCAAAAATATGATCATATTGGGGCGCCTGGGTGGCTCAGTCAGTTAAGCGGCTGCCTTCGGCTCAGGGTCCTGGGATCGAGCCCCACATTGGGCTCCCTGCTCAGCAGGGAGCCTGCTTCTCCCTCTCCCACTCCCCCTGCTTGTGTTCCCTCTCTCACTGGTCTCTCTCTGTCAAATAAATAAATAAAATATTTAAAAAAAAACAGAAAACAAAAATATGATCATATTATACAAATCCACACATTTTCTTTTGTGACCCATCATTTGAGGAGGCCTGCTGAGGGGACAGCATGGCACCACTCACCATCCGCCATGCAATACTTCCACTGCCCGTCATAAATGGCTCTGGTTGCACACCAAGGGGAGAGGCTATTGGTTTTGATGCAAGAAAAGTAAGAAGACCCCTTGTAGATGAAGGGAAAGGCACATGAATCTTTCTGATCTGGAAGACAGAGAGACAAAACAGAGGGGCTTCGTCACAATGAATGAGCCAAGGATGAGTCTTGGTTTGGTTCTCATGGCGGGCGGGGGGGGGCTCTGAAGGTGACACGTGGAGTCTTAGCACCCAGCTTTCTCGTGACATACAAGGGCATGTCCAGTTTATGTTGAGACCAAGAGTACAGGGAAGGAGTCTCATAAACCATGAAAACAACTAGGATAAAGTTTTCCTCCAGACCATCAGAGTACCGTCAATGTCACAGAAAACACATTTGGTAAAGGTCATGAGATCACAGTAGGTAATGAAAGGACACACATTAAATAATTCCGAAACGCGATTGCATTTTGCAATGCTCTTTTCAATCCTGATGACACAAAAAACAAAGCTTCATTTTAATGGTAGTATTTCTCTACCATGTCTCTAATTGTTAATAATCTCCCTTTTTAACAACAACAACAAAAAGAGGGCAGGACTCAGGCTCAAAGCCTTATTGGGACAATAGCATCTAGTAGAATGTAACAATAGGATTTTGTTTTCACAGTATTTATTTTTGTTTGCAATTTCTATTTATGGCAAGTAGTAGCATTTTTACAGATTACAGAGCTGATGTTAACTATTCTTTAAAATGAGGGTGTTGGGCGCCTGGGTGGCTCAGTTGGTTAAGCGACTGCCTTCGGCTCAGGTCATGATCCTGGAGTCCCGGGATTGAGTCCCGCATTGGGCTCCCTGCTCGGCGGGGAGTCTGCTTCTCCCTCTGACCCTCCCCCCTCTCATGTCCTCTCTCTCTCTCTCATTCTCTCTCTCAAGTAAATAAATAAAATCTTAAAAAAATAAAAAAAATAAAATAAGGGTGTTAAAGTGAAGAAGAGATCACATCTAAAGAAGAAGGTCAAGCAAATGATAGTGCTGGTGACGTGCAGATATGGTAAATACTGAGGGGGTGGTACTTGGATGAGTAAAGTTGGAGAAATGCAACCCTTGGCCTTTGCATTCCTCAGTGTGAGGACAGGGACTTTGTCTTTGACACAGTGTATCCTCAGAAACTAGAATAGTGACTTGTTCATAGTAGATGCTTAAGAAAAAACTGACAGAATGAAGATATAAGTTCAGAAAATGCCACATGAAAAAAAGCAAAATGGGTTTCTTTAATGAAGGATTCATCAAAAGGGTCAATATGCAAATGAGAATTGAATTAACAAGAGGAGTATGGAGTATATCAAATTGTCCTTTTCCTCCTATTCCTTGAGAGCTTTGGAGACTGATGGTCCCTAAAACACATCTTAAGAAATTCTATTCTAGCCCAAATTCTTCATGGAGAAGGAAGTGAAGACCCATGTAAGATAAGGAATCATTTCAACGTAATGCCTTTTTTTTTTTGAGCAGAACTAGAATTTTTTTTTAATATTTTATTTATTTATTCATGAGGGAGAGAGAGAGAGAAGCAGAGGGAGAAGCAGGCTCCCAAGGAGCAGGGAGCCCGATGCGGGACTCAATCCCAGGACCCCGGGATCATGACCTGAGCCGAAGGCAGACGCTTAACCATCTGAGCCACCCAGGCGCCCGAGAACTAGAATTTTTTATCTAATGGTCCAGGATCATAGCTTTTCTCTTTGCATTCATCCTGTCATTCCCTCCTCCCTTCCCTTTCTCCCTCCTTCAAAGATATAATGAAGGCTTACCATGACTAAGACATTCTGATAGGTTATTTATGTGCATGCACACACACACGTGTGTGTGTGTGCATGCTCATGCTCATGTTCCAAACATGATGAGGCAAAGCTTCCATGGACTCACTAAAACCTATCTTCTTTTTCTTTCTGGGCTCCTAGCTTGAACCCATTTTTTGGCCTCTCTTATAGTTAGGTGGGGCCATGTGACTCAGTTACAACCCATGGAATGTGGGTGGAAGTGATGTTCACCATTTCCTCGCTCAGAAAAGTCCCAAGAAAACCTCCATGCTCCTTTCTTCCTCTGCCAGCTGGATATATAGAGCCATGGTTCTTGATGGAGAAGGGGACATTAGACAATGTTTGGAGAAATATTGGTTGTTACAACTGGGAGAAGGGGGAGCTGGTAGCTGTGCTCCTGGGATCTACTGGGCAGAGGCTGGGGATGTTGCTAAACATTTTACCATGCACAGGTTCCAGAACAAAATCATCTGGCCCCAAATGTCAATAGTGCCCAGGTTGAGAAACTCAGATAAAGAGGACCCTGCAGAGAACATTGAGGCTCTAGAGGATAGAGGAGCCATGATACGGAAGGGTCCTGTGTCTCTGAATCACAACGAAAGAGGCTTCCCACCAAACATCCACACTGAAGGGCTAGATGAGTTTGACGTGAACTCTACTGAGTTCAGCCACTGACATTTGGAGATAGTCTGTTACCAATACAGATGAATAAGACATCTTTGTAGCCCCATCTCTTCTGGATCAGATTCCTACCTTGTATAATCTGACCTAAGCCACCATAAGGGTGAATGAAGGATGTACTGGGAGAGGGTGGGAAAGGCAGACCTCCAGCTTTGAGTTTCACCAATGGGTTGATGCAAGTAGGGGCCCTTAAGTCACATTGCGTGGTCCACCTCTGAGTCTCAGAACTTTCCAGTCTTGGTTTTATAAAGTTGAAACCAGTTAATATCTGGAAAGTGCTTAGAAGAGTACCTGGAACATGACTGCTACTCAACAAATGTTAGCAATCATCACCATCACCGTCATCATTGTCATCAATGATTCTCAGTCATGGACACCACCGGTATGTATGATGCTGGGAGGGCAGGCAGATGCCCCCCTGACACAGGATTAAGATTATTCTTGGGAGTTGTTAGTAAGAATCAACACATAATAGATACTATTAGCCATCTGCAAAGTAATCCAGCAGATGGTCTAATCTTAACTGGGTTAAAATCCTCCATAATCTGGGCCCTGCTGACCTCTCTGTTCTCACCGTCTGATTAACATTTCCTCGACCTTCCTCCATGCTTCTTTCTTGTCTTTGGCATTTGGCTTATGCCCTTCATCCTGTTCTTTTCTTTCTTCCTAGCCTTACTCCCCATTACTCAACCATACGACTTGATTCAGTCTGGATCAATACTCTTCTGCACTCTTATAATACTCTCAATCTCTATAAATGTACTTACCAAATATTTAAAGAATATAGTTATCTGTTTACATGTCTATCACTCCTGTTTGCTGTGAACTCTCTGATTATAGAGCATGAGTTTTATTTATTGCTATGTTTCTGGCCCATTGCATGGTGCCTGGCATTTGGGAATCACTCAATAAATGTGTATCAAATAAATTAGCCCATAAATATGTGCAGAGGAGACTTAGGGATGCCAAGTTTTGCCACAGGAATGTGGGTGTGGTGTCAGGAAGGTATGACCAGAATGAGACAAGAACTGAAAAAGCTGGTATTGTTCCCTGACAGAATAAACTGGGTTCTTAGCCTTTTTGGGACTCATCAGTTCTTTTGAGAAGCCAGACCTTCTCTCAGGGAAAATGCTCATACCTCCCTATGGCAGACACTGCTGTGTGTTCAAAACCAGCTTCATCTTCCTCCTAAATGTACTGCTAAAAAACACATTTCCCAGACTCCCTTGCAGCTAAGCATTCTGTGAGTTCTGGCCAGTGGAAGTGGGAGAAAATGAGAGCTATCACTTCCTGGCCAAAAAACAGTCTCCTCCAAGATCATCAGGCTCTTGATCCTTGTCTATCAGCTCCAAGCAAAGACTCCACAGAACACCCTAAATCCCTAGGGGATGGTGGAACCCCACGGTGGAAGGTGCATGGACCCCTGCTGACCATACGCATCCTCATTGGACTTTATAGGAAGGAGAAATAAAATGATTTGTGTTAAGCTGCCATAGTTTGGAGTTTGTCTGTGTCAATATCTATTCTCACTACCCTGATAAATACACACCCTTTTTTATACCAATCCAGGGTTTCATGGACTCTAGTGCTTGCCCGGTGACCTCATATTAGGAATCTCTGGAATATAGAATGTGATCATTGAAAAAGGACTTCGTGGAATCCAAGGGCATGAAAACAGGAGTGTTTTTAGGGACTCCTGGGTGGCTCAACCTCTGCCTTCGGCTCAGGTCATGATCCCAGGGTCCTGGGATTGAGTCCCACATCGGGTTCCTTGCTCAGCGGGAGCCTGCTTATGCTCTCTCTCTCTGACTAATAAATAAATAAAATCTTTTTTTAAAAAAGAGTGTTTCTTGAGCCTATCCAAGGGAGAGGGCTCATCAGATGGAAAAGGATTTTAATTGTAGAGAATTGTTTCACCCTAGCTTGAGTGAACTATATATAATCAGGGTCTCTCTTTGTTCTGCTTCTGTGCTTACCATCCGATCTTTGGGTGGTTGATTTAGATTCCTAGATATATCAAGAGCGTAGCCTCACACCCACTAGAATGGCTACTTTTTTTTTTTTTTTTTTTTAGCAGAAAACAACAAGTGTTGGCAAGGATGTGGAGAAATTAGAACCTTATGCACTGTTGATGGGAATGTAAAATGGTGTAGCTGCTTTGGAAAACAGTATGGCATTTCCTCAAAAAATTAAACATAGAATTACCATATGACCCAGCAATTCTCCTTCTGGGTATATCCCCAAAAGAATTGAAAGTGGGTTCTCAAAGAAGTATTTGTAACACCCAATGGTTAGAGCAGTGTTATTCACAATAGCCAAAAGGTAGAAACCATCCAAGTCTATCAATGGATGAGTGGATAAACAAAAGGTGGTATGTACATGTGTGTATCACACACACAGTGGAATATCATTTAGCCCTAAAGGGAAAGGGAATTCTGACAGCTGCTACAACATGGATGAATCTTGAGGACATTATGCGAAGTGACATAAGCCAGTCACAAAAAGACAAGTACTGTTTGATTCCACTTTCATGAGGTATCAGAGCAGTCGAATTCATGGAGAAAGAAAGTAGAATGGTGGTTGCCGGGGCTGAAGGGAGAGGGAGGTGCAAGTCATTTAATAGGTACAGAGTTTTAGTTTTGCAGGCTGAAAAGAGCACTGGCTATTGGTTGTACAACAATGCGATTGTACTTCTATGGAACTGTGCACTTCAAAATGGTTAAGATTGTAAATTTTATGTTCTGAGCATTTTACCACAATTTAAGAAAGAGAGTGGAGGGTCTAAGTTGGAGTCTGAAGACTCAATCCATTGGAATTATAGAACACCCCCCTTTTTTTTAGAGAGAGAGAGTGAACACACAAGTGGTGGGGGAGGGGCAAGGGAGAGGGAGAGAATCTCAAGCAGGCTCCACGCCCAGCTCAGAACCCAAAATGAGGCTCAATCTCACAGACCTGAGCCAAAATCCAGTCAGAGGCCTCACCAACTGAGGCACCCAGGCGCCCCTAAAGCCCCCCTTTTAATTAACATATATGCACTTCCCTTCCATGTGCTGAGCATCATGAAAGGTGCTTGTGTCCATTACAGCAACCACCCACTTATCCAGGGTCTCGCTTTCCTTGTTTTCAGTTATCTGCGGTCAAGGCAGTCCAGAAGCAGATGATTCTCTATCTCCTCCTTACCTGAATCCAGGAATCCTTGCTTTGACCCATTCACTCTTTCTGATTTCCAAATCCTCCCCATCATTTTCCAGTATACTCACTTCCACTTGTCTTATGGGAGTAGAGGAGGAAGGTTGTCCACCCTAACATGTAACTGGACCACGGGTTCATCTCAACAGGGCCTCTTCTTTCTGGACTGAAGGAAGACAAAAAATTTATTTATTTATTTATTATTTTTTTAAAGATTTTATTTATTTATTTAACAGAGAGAGACAGCGAGAGAGGGAACACAAGCAGGGGGAGTGGGAGAGGGAGAAGCAGGCTTCCCGCTGAGCAGGGAGCCCGATGCGGGGCTTGATCCTGGTATCCTGGGATCATGACCTGAGCCGAAGGCAGACGCTTTACTGACTGAGCCACCCAGGTGCCCCTCTTTTTTATTTTT